CAAATTTAGCACGACAGTGGTACCGCCTGTCACACTCCCCCCATTCATGTCAATGGGGCCATGTCATATCTGCAAGCCAAATACAGTACCTGGCTTGCAGTTGTGGCACATTCAGGGCCCTGGATAAGTGGGTACCACTAGTCCTCCTGTACAGGGCCCAAGCCAGCAGGGGGCAGGGGAGCCAGGCAGCTGGGTGAATCAAATGTGGGCAGGGAGCCTGATCGGCACGGCGGAGGGGGCAGTTACTGGAACCAATTCCCTGTATGGATCTCTCTGCAGCAGCTGAAAGCTGGCTTCTTCTCCTTTCCCTCCTGCTGGCTTTCAGCTGCTGCAGAGAGAGCCATACAGGGGATCGGTTCCAGCAACTACCACCCCACCACCCTCCCTGTGCACCGTACATTTTTGCCTGCTGCCAGGCCCCCCATGTGCCCCCACCCTTACAGTTCTGCCAGATTCCTTCCTTTCTTTCCCCCTTTCCAGCTGCGAACACACAATAGGATCCTTCAGGATCCAAGGCCAAACATTCCAGGGGAGGGAAACTTTTAATCCGGGCCATTTGGGTGATTTCTGTTATCATTATGATTTAAAAAAGGAGCCAAACAACTATTTGATAATAAATGGCTTCATATGATCATCACCCTTCAATAAAAGAGCATTTTTGGCATGATCAGTCATATTTTCAATATCAATGCCAAAATTTCACAATTTCTGCCAGGGTATGCAAACTTTTGAGCACAACTGTATATAGCAGTTTACATATATATTGCACATTCACATCAGTCCCTAACCCTCAAGGGGCGTACAATCTAAGGTCCCTAACTCACATTCATATATACACAAAGTGGCGTTCCTAGGCAGGTGCGGGGGGTGGTGACACCTGTAGCAGTTGTACGTACAAATATGGATGCGAACATCCATTTTGCCAAAGATCCTCCATCTTGTATCATTTTTCACTCCCCCCTCCCTCTCTGTTGAGTGACACGTGGTCCCTGTATGCTGGGCTCAGGAGTACACAGGACACAGCTGGATACCCTTGATGGTTGTAAACCCAATTAGCTGATGCCAGGATGTCTGCCCCACTCTTGCTCTGAAGCTGATCGTAAAGCCATAAACCCGTCAGTCACTGGACTTCAAAAGCATTCCAGGTTAGCAGTAACACATATATCCCATGTGAAAACACTTTTTCATTCACTTTTGTAATTTCTTGTAGGTAATACACACCAGGGTGCAAAGCATATATTCAGAGAGGTCATTGTAATACAAGTCACCTGATACCTTACACCCCTGGATTGCGTCTACCCAAGAGCAGAAAGTGATGTCTCCTTAACCGTCACAGCCAGATATGTCATGTGATATCTGGACATTCAGAATATTATTCTGCAGATTATCCTACCTGTGGATAAGATGCTACATGTACCTAGGGAAGGTTTTTGACCCTGGTATAACTTGAGAGGGATTTTGGTTCTAGCTTGGGTCTCCGCCTAGACCCCCCCTCCCCAAATAGGCGATTGGCCCTTGACTTTAGAGACACCCCCTGCTGGATGCCTACAAAATAGGCTGTTTGGCCTGAGAGAGAAAGATGAAGAATTCTCCCTTTTAACATCAGGAACCAACTTGGGAGAACGGTACCCTTTTGCTCAGGACACTTGAATCTGCTTAAACCAAGGCTGACGGCAAGTATTCTACCTCTCTAAACTTCTTTCTGTTATCTCTCTGTTGTGGTATTGCTCTCTGTATTTATATATATATATTGGCTACATCTTTTTCTGTAAATATTTTTATTGCACCATCTTGACCTTTTTAGTAATAAATCCTATTATCTCAAAAGTGTTGAACTGTTTCTAAAGCTCTTTAATGCAAACTAAGAATCCCTGTCTCTGAAGAGCGCTACTGTGTGTTTTAAAACCTCTATATACATCTGCCTGCGGTGACAGTGTGCATACAGACGATTATTCAAACATCATAGTGTTACTGCTAAGATTGGCGAGTTTCCTCCTTCTCCGTACAAAAAGGAGGTGGTGGCAGTGTGGAGGGTTAATTGCGTAATTAACCTGACCCAGTACCAATTGCTCTCAGGCTGCGGCACATAGATTGTGGTCCAGTGAGCTGGAAAATCTTTGTGCATGTTGCAGTTGAGCGTGGCCTTGTTACACACGTGACAGCGTGGTTTTAGATTGACTAGTCCTTCGGTCACAAGTTGGTGAGAAGGGCTGGGGGTCTGATGCCGCCGTCACAACACCTATCGCACGGGGTGAGACCGGACCTGCTCCAGGTTGCATGCCGACGATCCCCGCAGGATGGATCAGATCTGCAGATTGGGGAGGATAATGGATCGGACTCCGTTGCATTATTCTCAATCCATCCTGCAGGGATCGTCTGCATGCAGCCCATACGGGGTGACACCGGACTCGCTCCATGAAAAGGTAAGTTGTAAAGTAAGCCGACGATCCCTGCAGGATGGATCGGATCTGCGAATTGAGCATAATGGATTGGAGTCCGATCCAATATGCTCAATCCGCAGATCAGATCCATTTTGCGGGGATCGTCGGAGGGGGTGTCACCAAGTGTTACCGCACCGGGTGGCACCAACCCTAGGGACGCCCCTGACTACAGGCAGCTATGTAAAAAAAAAATATGCCAGAAAAAGCCGACGTTGTGGCCAACAAAGGCAGAAGGAGATCTGCAGCACTGAGATTAGGTTGCATGCCGACGATCCCCGCAGGATGGATGGGATCTGCTGACTGGGGAGCATAATGGATCGGACTCCGATCCATAATGCTCAATCCTCAGATTCGAACCATCCTGCGGGGATCGTCGGCTTGCTTTACAACTTACCTTTTCGTGGAGCGGGTCCGGTGTCACCCCGTATAGGTTGCATTCCGACGATCCCCGCAGGATGGATGGGATCTGCGGATTGGGGAGCATAATGAATCGGACTCCAATCCAATATGCTCAATCTGCAGATCCGATCCATTCTGCGGGAATCGTCAGAGGGGGTGTTATCGCACTGGGTGACACCAACCCTAGAGACGCCTCTGCATACACACATTCATACATACACATACTAGGGCCAATTTAGACAGGAGCCAATTAACCTACCAGCATGTCTTTGGAGTGTGGGAGGAAACCGGAGTACCTGGAGGAAACCCACACAGGCACAGGGAGAACGTGCAAACTCCAGGCAGGTGGTGCCATGGTAGGGATTTGAACCAACGACCCCAGTACTGCCAGGCGGAAGTGCTAACCATTCAGCCACTGTGCTGCCCCAATATGATCTTGGAACCCCCCTTTAAATGCGTCTGTATGAGGCCTTTCAGTAAATATTTCCAAAATCCGGTGATAAAAGATCATAACCGAAGAGCGAATTTGGCGCCGCGGCTGAGAAAAGCGAAATTTATGGCGTTAGCAAATGTCAGCCAGCGTAACGGAAAGCCGGCGAGTAGAACCTTGAAATGAAACGGATGAAAAAGTCATCTTTCAGAAGGAGGTTTGATGTCTGGCTCCATATTAACTCATAAGTTCACCGTGCCGAAATAACGACGGCGTATATCTTTCCTGGGTGATAGCGAGATCGGCGCGGTGTGGCTGCTCGCTGTCTCATTACCGCTGATAAAGCGCGATCTTATATATTCAGAAGCCGCGTGAGGCAAATTATCTTCCAGGGGGTTCTCGGATTCCTTCAATTAGCTCACTCATATATTTTACATCTATTGAGACGTCAGGAAGAAGTAAACAGGAATGATATACTAATCGCAGAACGCCGGCGGCTCAGCCGTAAGGTTCAAGGCGAAACGCGGTCACCGCTAGACATTTCAGGTCCGATAAACGAATAAAGACGCAGAGGGAGAAACGGCGAAAGACAGACTAAGCAGAAAATTGAAACAGAGTGTAACAAACAGGAGCGGACTGACAACTCATGGGGCCCCTGGGCAATAGGGGATCATGGGGCCCCTGTGTCCTTGCCCAAACTCAAAAACGCCTATGAAAAAGGTACCAGGGGCATCTCATGGGGCCCCCTACTGACCCCGGGCCCTCGGGCAGTGCCCGAGTTTCCAAATGGTCAGTCCGCCCCTGGTAACAAATGATTTATTATATTGCAGTGATTATCATTTATCAGTAGTTCTGCGCCATTGCTGCTTGATGCGCTTATTCTTTGCGCCTGAAATAAATGCAATCTTTTCAAATCTATGCCACACAAATTGCAACATTTCCCTGGACCCTGCATCCACTATATCCACTCTCCCCGGACCCTGCATTCACTATATCCGGTCTCCCCGGACCCTGCATTCACTATATCCACTCTCCCCAGACCCTGCATTCACTATATCCGGTCTCCCCGGACCCTGCATTCACTATATCTGGTCTCCCCGGACCCTGCATTCACTATATCTGGTCTCCAGGACCCTGCATTCACTATATCTGGTCTCCAGGACCCTGCATTCACTATATCTGGTCTCCTCGGACCCCGCATTCGCTATATCCAGTCTACCCGGACCCTGCATTCGCTATCTCCGGTCTCCCCGGACCCTGCATTCACTATATCCGGTCTCCCCGGACCCTGCATTCACTATATCTGCTCCCCGGACCCTTCACTATATCTGGTCTGCATTCCTATATCCGGGACCCTGCAATATATCACTATATCGCTGGTCTGCCACTATATCTGGACCCTGCATTCACATTATCTGGTCTCCTCGGACCCTGCATCACTCACTGCATAACTGGTCTCCCTGGACCCTGCATTCACTATATCCACTCTCCCCGGACCCTGCATTCACTATATCCGCTCTCCCCGGACCCTGCATTCACTGTATCTGCTCTCCCCGGACCCTGCATCCACTATATCCTCTCTCCCCAGACCCTGCATTCACTATATCTACTCTCCCCGGACCCTGCATTCACTATATCTGCTCTCTCCTGGACCCCGCATTCACTGTATCTGCTCTCCCTGGACCCTGCATCCACTATATCCTCTCTCCCCGGACCCTGCATCCACTATATCCTCTCTCCCCAGACCCTGTATTCACTATATCTGCTCTCCCTGGACCCCGCATTCACTATATCCGCTCTCCCCGGACCCTGCATTCACTATATCCGCTCTCCCCGGACCCTGCATTCACTGTATCTGCTCTCCCCGGACCCTGCATTCACTATATCCTCTCTCCCAGACCCTGCATTCACTATATCTGCTCTCCCTGGACCCTGCGTTCACTATATCCGCTATCCCCGGACCCTGTATTCACTATATCTGATCTCCCCGGACCTTGCATTCACAATATCCGGTCTCCTCAGACCCTGCATCCACTATATCCGCTCTCCCCGGACCCTGCATTCACTATATCCGCTCTCCCAGGACCCCTCATTCACTATATCTGCTCTCCCAGGACCCCGCATTCACTATATCCGGTCTCCCCGGACCCCGCATTCTCTATATCTGCTCTCCCTGGACCCTGCAGTCACTATATCCTCTCTCCCTGGACCCTGCATTCACTATATCTGGTCTCCCCAGACCCCGCATTCACTATATCCGGTCTCTCTGGACCCTGCATTCACTATATCCGCTCTCCCCCGGACCCTGCATTCACTATATCCGGTCTCTCCCACGGACACTGCATTCACTATTTCTGGTGTCCCCGGACCCCGCATTCACTATATCCGCTCTCCCCGAACCCCGCATTCACTATATCCGGTCTCCCCAGACTCTGCATTCACTATATCTGGTCTCCCTGGACCCTGCATTCACTATATCCGGTCTCCCCCCGATTCACCCTGCATTCGCTATAATCCGCTCTCCCCGCACTCTGCATTCGCTATATTCGGACCCAGAGCAGTGCACTGTTTGTAGGAAGAGTTTTTATTTTGCTCTAGGAGGATGTAGGACCCCTGACCTCTGTCTGGACAGTGCTGATTGGCCCTGTGCTGATCACATGCACACTCCCAAGAAAAGAAATGCAACCTTTCTAGCAATACACACCAAACTGAGCATGTGCAGAGTGACTTCGCTCCATATGTCTTATCAGGAGAAAAGAGGGGGACACTGGAAGAAGATGAGGATCAGAGAAGTCAGGATCAAACAGCCTTTTTACACAATGCAGAGGATTAACCCCTAAGGTTCCCCAGTGAGTATAACAAGCATGCCTTACTGTATCTACAGACTGATTGTACTGCTGTGGGTTTAGTAACACTTTCATGGTGAAAATCACTTCATCTGCTGTCTATGATTCCCCTTCACTTCATATCCTGAAGACACCACATGGGGTCTATTTATAACAAATTTGCTGTGTGAATTCTCCAAGTATTTCCACATCTGTCACAAATAATCCCCATAAATTGTTTTGTTTTTTTTGTTTTTTAAATCCGATAATTTTGTCATTGAAAAACTTATTTTTTTTTAATCAGATAATTATTTTAATGAAAAATCTTTTTTTTAGATAATTTTTTTTATTAAAATTTTTTTTTTTAATCAGATTTTATTTTATTAAAAAGCTTTTTTTTTTAAATCAGATTTTTTTTTATTAAAAAGCTTTTTTTTAATCAGATAATTATTTTAATGAAAAGCTTTTTTTTTAATCAGATAATTTTTTTTATTAAAAAGCTTTTTTTTTAATCAGATAATTTATTTTATTAAAAACTTTTTTTTTAATCAGATTTTTTTTTTTTATTAAAAAAGCTTTTTTTTTTAATCAGATAATTATTTTTAATGAAAAGCTTTTTATTAATCAGATAATTTTTTTTTATTAAAAAGCTTTTTTTTTTTAATCAGATAATTTATTTTATTAAAAAAACTTTTTTTTAATCAGATATTTTTTTTTTATTAAAAAGCTTTTTTTTTTTTAATCAGATAATTTTTTTGTTAAAAAGCTTTTTTTTATCTAATCAGATAATTTTTTTTATTAAAAAGCTTTTTTTTTTTTAATCAGATATTTTTTTTTATTGAAAAGCTTTTTTTTTTAATCAGATTTTTTTTATTATTGAAAAGCTTTTTTTTTAATCAGATTTTTTTTTAATTAAAGAGCTTTTTTTTTTTTATTTTGGATTTGCTGCTTTAAAGAAACTTCTTTTGTTTACCGTCGACATTCCCGATGGATGGAGTGGAAGCCGCCTCTGTCGCAGGAGCACATCTGTGTCGTTCTGTGACGCGCGGCGTATTAAGACCTTCCATCATTTTGTTATGACAGTCGCTGTCCTAGTCGCAGATAAACGTGACGAGGTTTAAACGTGCCTGGCGGTGTCGGGAAATAATTAAGCTCATTTATATAGAGCATTACTACGGCATTACAACACTCAGCGCAATGTTGTACAGACACCTCCTTCACTCTAATTATCTTTTTTTTTCTCAGTCAAACTAATTAACTGCGTTTTTTTTTTTTTTAATAACGACAAAGAATTCTGAGAACGGAATGGAAGACGGCGATGTCTGAATTTAAGGGTGCGATGTTCAAAGTGGACCTGTCACATGGGAAGTAAAATTACAACTTGAAACAATGGAATTATTGTACGTTTCTTTTTACATTTCTGCTGCCGTTACTGAGTGATCAGCAGTGGAAGTGCTATGATTTGAAATTATATATATATATATATATATATATATATATATATAAATATATTTTATATATATCTGTATATTCAAGTGCTGTTGATTTTGTGACCTATATATGGGCTGAGGATGGATAGTCTACTTAAAATGGGCCTAGATATATTTTTGATATGTAAGGATATGTCTAAATCTCGAGAAGAGGTGTACTCTTCCTTTAATCTCGGTGTGATTTGTGTATTTCTTCCAGATCTGTGCAGTAATCCAGTGTAAGACTTCCTGCAATAAAGACTGCTCACTGCTACTCTCTCTCCCTGTGCAGGGGGACTGGTCTTGCTCCGCCCCTTCCTGCAATAAAGACCGCTCACTGCTGCTCTCTCTCCCTGTGCAGGGATACTGGTCTTGTCTCCACCCCTTCCTGTAATAAAGACCGCTCACTGCTGCTCTCTCTTCTTGTGCAGGGGGACTGGTCTTGCTCCGCCCCTTCCTGTAATAAAGACCGCTCAATGCTGCTCTCTCTCCCTGTGCACCCCTTCCTGTAATAAAGACCGCATACTGCTGCTCTCTCTCTCCCTGTGCAGGGGACTGGTCTTGTCTCCACCCCTTCCTGTAATAAAGACCGCTCACTGCTGCTCTCTCTGCTTGTGCAGGGGGACTGGTCTTGTCTCCGCCCCTTCCTGTAATAAAGACCGCTCACTGCTGCTCTCTCTTGTGCTGGCCTTTGCAGGGGGACTGGTCTTGTGCAGGGTGACTGGTCTTGCTCCGCCCCTTCCTTTAATAAAGACCGCTCACTGCTGCTCTCTCTGCTTGTGCAGGGGGACTGGTCTTGTATCCGCCCCTTCCTGTAATAAAGACCGCTCACTGCTGCTCTCTCTGCTTGTGCAGGGGGACTGGTCTTGTATCCGCCCCTTCCTGTAATAAAGACCACTTACTGCTGCTCTTTCTCCCTGTGCAGGGGGACTGGTCTTGTCTCCGCCCCTTCCTGAAATAAAGACTGCTCACTGCTGCTCTCTCTCTCTGTGCAGGGGGACTGGTTTTGCTACACTCCTTCCTGTAGTTTTCTGCAGGCAGCCTGTAGTGAGTGGAGCCTGTTGGGCCCCTCCCACAGTTCTGCTCTCTCTCCTTGTGCAGGGTGGCTGGTCTTCTTTTTGCCCTCTCCTGTAGTTTTATTCAGGCAGCCTGTAGTGGGTGGAGCCTGCGAGGCCCCTCCCACAGCTCTGCTCTTCTCCATCCTTGTGCAGGAGGACTGTAGAAAACTACAGGAGGGGCGGAGACAAGACCAGCCACCCTGCACAAGGATAGAGAGCAGAGCTGTGGGAGGGGCCCAGTAGGCTCCACCCACTACAAACTGCTTGCAGAAAACTATAAAAGAGGCGGAGACAAGACCACTCACCCTGCACAAGGAGAGAGAGCAGAGCTGTGGGAGGGGCCCAGTAGGCTCCACCCACTACAGGCTGCCTGCAGAAAACTACGGGGGGGGGGGGGGGGGGCAGAGACAAGAACAGCCACCTTGCACAAGGAGAGAGAGCAGAGATGTGGGAGGGGCCCAGTAGGCTCCACCTCCTACAATCTAAACTAATTAGAGCCTTTCAAAACTTGAGTAGAGGATCCCTCGCGGAGTTCAGCTTTAACCCGCGTCTATGAGAATTCCTCACTTGTGCCGTATAAGTGCTCTGGAATCCCTTTATATGGAAAGGAAATCTTCACGTTAGGTGCGGGAAAACATCAACTTAGCGTTTACTGCGCCGCGTTTGAAGTCAGTTTGAGGTTGCTGCTCTCCCGGAATTCACAACCCGCTGGCCGCGCGTCCTTCTGCAGGCAGTGGCTGCGCCGGACCTCGCACTTCAATGCGTCGCAGCGGGAGGACTATTCTGATCTATGGTAATCAGGTGAAATTACGGCAATCCAGCCGGCTATAGAGTGTGTGGGAAGCGATACGGGGCGCTTGTCGATTCGACTCCCAGCTAGACCAATTACCCCGAGCCGGGAGATGAATTCCTCCGGCTTTACTCCCACGGAATGAAATTTGTAAGTTTATCAAGCTATAAAGCATCCGAACGAGCGCCAGACAAACTTTTAATAACCGTCGGTGAACTTGCATCTCGTGGGGGAGGGGAAACGCGGCGGAAAATTTTACATACCGCCGATTCTGATGCCGGGGACGCCGACAAATCCTGTCGTTCTGCACCGCGGTGCGCCGCCATCCGTCAGTCACAAAAAGGGTTGTCGCTGTTATCCTGCACCCCGCCGTGATCGCTCTGGTAACAGACGCAGCCATAGATAACGCCTCCCCCGTGATGTGTGATAGGAAGGGGGGGGGGGGGGGAAAATGCAGAATGCGCTCTGAAACATTGTTACTTAAAGCGGTATTACACCCAAAACCAAAAATATAATATACTGCAGCTTACCAATCATTAGACGTGGCGGCTGCATTAGTTTTCTTTTTTAAGGCTTTTTTTTCTCCTCTGTTTTTCACCTGGTGATCTGGCCAGTAACACATCTCCTGTATTACAGCGCCCCCACTCTGGATGAAAAAGCAACAGAGACGCCTTTGGACCGCAGCATTGTAAATCTGGGGGGGGGGGGGGGGGGAAGCAGATTTAAATACAATAGCCACTTCGCCCACCTCCCCTGTCTCTGGGGGTGGGGGGTGGACAATGCAGAAGTGGTAAAGTGGTATTACACCCAAAACCAAAAATACTACATATTGCAGCTTACCAATAATTAGATGTGGCAGCTGCATTAGTTTTCTTTTTTTCAGGTTTTTTTCCCTTTGTTTTTACCTGGTGATCTGGCCAGTAACACATCACCTGTACAGGGGCGGACTGACAACTCATGGGGCCCCCGGGCAATAGGGGATCATGGGGCCCCTGTGTCCTCAACCACACTCAAACCACACCCAAAAAAGCCTATGAAAGGTACTAGGGGCATCTCATGGGGCCCCCTACTGACCCCGGGCCCTCGGGCAGTGCCCGAGTTCCCAAATGGTCAGTCCGCCCCTGGTACAACCAG